TGTATTTAAAACTTGCGATAACTACATGAATGCACCGTTTACGGTCTCAATGTCTGATTTGTACCTTTATCACGCGCACCGACGGGGGGCGGATATCCGCCCCCCCCCCTGAGGTTTTTCGCGAATAGCGGGAAGCGCCGCGAAATTTGGTACGACTATTCCCTCATCAATTTTACACACGGTGTGCAAGTTTGAACCTCCTACCTTTTAAGGTCAGGTCACCAGGTCACTTTGAATGACCCAACCTCAAGTCACTTTTTTGCAACTTTGTCACCGTGCCAGAGCTACAGTAGATGTCGGAGGCCTTTGAAAGTCGCAGGATGTTATTAGGTCATTAGTAGCTACAACTTGCTTATCTCGGAATTTTGATATCAGTGACCTAAGGTCAGGTCAATTTCGCGACCTCCCCATTATAAGTCAATGGGGGAAAAATCAACTCCCTGTTTTTACCACTAAAACGGGTCGGAATGGCCCCATATACCATACATGACTTCATATACAATCAACCTTCACTACCTTAAGGTCTGTTTTGCTGTTGGGCAGCTGTGAGGTCATGTGACGTCATCAAAGGTCACCAAAGGTTTTTGGCCAATAACTCCGTACAGGAACAAGATACAGCCGCGTGGATGGTCTCATTGTGTTCAGCTCGTCAAGACGCATCGAATGATATACATGATGACCTCGAGGTCACGTGACCTGAGGTCAAACTTTGACCTTGACCTTTCGAGGTCAACATATAATCATTCGATGCGGATTGACGAGAGGATCACGATACTGTCCTTAGTTTGTTCCTATCTTGACTAATTCGAAAGTTATTCGAGAAAAACTCTCTCCATATCTAGCGCCGCCATTTTGACTTTTTCGACCCCTGTGACGTCATCTTTGACCTGACCTGAAAATGACCCTAGTAAAAATTGTAGATCTTGACCGTGCATATCCGATGCCGTTTAACGCTTGTCGCTATCTTGCTTCGTTCTCGAGATCTCAGGGGGGGGGGCGGTCATCCGCCCCCCCCCCCCGTCGGTGCGAAGTTGGCGCAGACCCCCGTCGGTGCGCGGGTTAAAACGGATAAAGCATATAAATATTTAAATATCATAAAGGAAATGTGCGCATTTCGCATGGACGTGTGGCCTGCTGTTACATCAAACAAAGGAGTTCATACAGTGCCAACCTCGGGGCTGAGGGGGCTTTGGCTGTGTCAAAGAATCCAGGATCACTTGTATCAGTTAGTTTTGCCCTTTTTAGAAACAAGAAATTCATTAAAAATGAATTTTCTAAGGAAGACGGTTTTTAACAATTATAACACTGACAGTCCCGGGAACACTTGTCAATTATCGCGGGCAACACAGTTTGAGGCGGTCGCCTTCGCTGGGGTTAGCCGGCCTCTCTGACCGGAAATGGAATTTAACCCGGCAGGCGGTGGGCCTCCCGGCCACCTTCAGTGGGGGGGGGGGGGCATTTTTTGCCCCCCGTATCTCCGAAACTACTGGACGGATCCGGAAAATTCAAACGGCGTTCGATAGCCCTGTCAAATTTGTCGAAGGAAACCAAATTTCATTGACCTCGGGGTCACTGATGACGTCACAGGTCAGGTCAAAGGTAAAATGTTTCACCGCTCACGGGGCTTCTAGGGAAAGCTCTATAACACCGAGTAAAACGCATTTTGTCGAAAATCAGCGATAGGGCGTCAGTTGTCTAGTACATATGTTGCTATTAGAGGTCACTGGTCATACCAGGTCAGGTCACAGGTCAGGTCACCAAAGGTCACCAAGGGTCACCACATGAACCCAACTTTACAAAGGTTGTGCGATGCATGTTTTATGGCCAGTTTTTCATTTCCAACTCAATGGTGTTAGTTATAAGACCATCAGGTACGGTTTAGGTCACTTTCTAGTGGAGGTCAGGTCAAGGTCAGGTCAAAAAGGTCAAATTTCAAAGTTGATATTTTGCATAAAATCGGTATTGATTCGATGCAGCTCGTCATGGGGAGTCTAATGGTGGTCTTTGTTTTGCGCTACGAGGTCTAGAATTGCTTAAGATTGAGTTTGAAAATTTTTACGTCATCAATTTTGAACAGTTTTTTTTTTGCTATAACTTGGCCAAAAAAAAAGAGATATCGATCTCAAATTTGGTATGTAGATAGAAGGCGGTAGGGACTATCACATATCATCCTTTTTTCGAAATTCAAAAAACTTTTTGGATTTTTCGGCTATTATTTTTTTTTTAAATCTATTGTTTGATTTTTGGGGGTCAAAATCCAAAAAATTCAAAAATCCGAGATATTAGTTTTGTAGCCCCCTCAATTCTACACCTTTTATGTCGAAACATTTTTCTGTGTCTCTAAAGCTGTAGGCCTGACAGCTCTTCTCGCGAAACCTTTTTTGGGCCAAAAATGACAGAAATGATGTCACTCTGACGTCATTAGCGTCCAACCTATCATAGCCTTTGGAAAAATTTTTGGTCACAATGTGCAATAGCTATTCACGGGAGGGTACTGAAAGTTTGGCGACAATCGGCGCAGCGGTTCTCGAGATATATCGAGAAAAAAACTAAAAGGGGGCAAAAATGCCCCCCCCCCACCGCCTGGAAGGTTAACGGAGAGTTTGGATCCGCTTGGGTAATTTTCAGTGGTTTTCAATTAATTTTTGCATTGCAATCATATTATGGATATGGTTCCACATTATACTAGTAATTCATTAGCTAATTAAATCACACTTCCAATAAAATTATGTAACTCAGCCCTCGGATGCGTGTGCGCGTGTATGCGGTGACCCCCCACGCAGGTCGCGGTGCTGCGCCGCTCGACGGGCCGGGGCGCCGGCGGCAGACCGCTGCCAGCAGTATCATATGTCGTCTGCCTCGGTGTGTTGTCGGCAGTACGTCTCCTCAGTAGTGCTCTGGCCGCCGCCCTCGCCCCCTCCCCCCTCGGCTCGCAGTTCGACCGCACTGCGCCGGAAAGGGACGACTGCTCCGCGGGGAACAGACGGAGCAGCGACGGACGAGCGTTTAGTGGGTACTCCGCCGCCAGGCCGGGGTCAAGTTACACAGTCACCTGATGGGGTGGCGAGGACCTCGCTGACAAAGGCGAGAAACTAAGAAATTGGTAAATTAACTTTGTTATACCTCGTATCTAATCTTTTTTTTCTGAAATATGTGTAGCTGCAGGCCATTTCAATCGTGTATCATACGAGGATGTTTTAGGATGTTTTTTCCTGGCTGGAATCAATTACTGGAGTTGCAGTTGCTATGCCACTTCAACTGTATTATCCCGGTCAAGTTCTCAATGCCGTGCGCAAGTCAATAACAAACGGCAATTGTTCTTATACGCCTGCACTTACTTAAGTTTTTTTTTCTTAAGAAAGTCAATGCACTGGTGAGTTACTTTGTTATTTCCGAAAGTTTTTTCTTTGTTATTTCCGAAAGTTTTTTTTCTTAAGGTCAATGTACTGGTGAGTTACTTTGTTATTTCCGAAATAATAACCTCTGTATCAAAATTTGAAAAGCAGCATATTGTTTCGATGATGATTTGTTTTGGTGCATAATGCAAAAATGTTGGTAATGCAAAAGAAATAATAATGATTAAATATGATCTTCTGAGTTCTGCTTGATGCGGAACGCTGAACTTTATCATCTAATGAGGTTTTATGAATACGTTTCTCGGCAAACATGATGATGTTCTCTATTGTTTTTTTGTGTTAAAAGTGAGATCTTAAACAATTGTAAAAAAAAATAATAAAATGCAAATAACGTAGTTGGAAAAGACATTTATAGATAGATACTATTAAGTCAGTAATGGTGTAATTTAAGTGTAGGTTAGTGTGACAGAATCGAACTTTGGCTCCTTTGGGAAGCACTTTTTAAATCGATTTGTATTTTTTCTTTTCGCTTTTTTCTTTTATGTTTGTCAAATTAAATAACATTTTTGTTTCCAAAAGTTCACGTATACAGTGTATGTGCAATTAAAACTTAAAAGCATGTCCAAAAAGGAAAAGGTCATGATATGACTATCATAATTAACCATTCGAAGCTTTACAGTAATGCTCATAATATATATCTAATATCTATTCATATCATTCATAGACAATTAAGGGACACGGAATGCAGAAGGTAAAACGTATGTTACTTGCCTTCTCTGCTAAGCCTTGAAAGTCAGCCGGCATCGGCGGTAAAGAAATAACTAATTGCTTCTATCTTTTTGACCATAATATTTGAGCAAAGACATTTTTATGTAATGCATTCATTCACGTTCACTGTACGCATTTACGAAAAAAAGCGTTTTATATTCCAGACATGTGTTCATCTGCGCGTGAAGATAAATCAATGCAAGAGGACGTACCACGCTACCGAAAAGGTGCAGCATACGAGCATGCAATCACTTCGGGGCAACTGCTAAAACCTTTTACCTACTATTAAGTTCCTTAATACAACAAGAACAGTTACGCAGTAACAAGGAAGTTATAGTTTAGTCAGAGTGATCCCAGGACAGCTCTCAATACAGACTGCATCGAATGTAGAACGCCATAACTGGGCGGCACCGGAATCAATGATTGGCCAATCATGGTTGCAGTGGTCCCACGCTTCCACGGCCAATGGGCTGAACAGTTAGCATAACGAGCGTTTCCACGTGCAGGAAACTTAACTTGTTATACTTCTCAAGCTTGCTCTGGCGGTATCAAAACATAGAAATGCGCCTCTTCTTCGATACGGAAGCAGTATCTAGTTCTCCGGTAACGCTACTGTCTATATAAATACATAGTGATGATACAGGTAATCAAAACATAGGCACAGACAGCACAAAAATGAAAAAGAGACGAGGCATAATAGGTACTTTTCAATCACAGTAATCGGACATCATGCTTTCCTATTGCTCATCAAAAGTTTGAAGATTAGGTATTTCGTGACATTGATATTGTTGATCGGACACGCTGATTTCTAGATCCTTATTCAATAAAAGCAGAGACTTTGGAGGCTTGTTGATCGCCGTGGGCCGGCCGACTGACCTGCACTGTTGGAGCCTCATGGTGCTGCGCCTGTGGGCCGGGTCAGCTGGGGTCAGCGGCGCCGGCTGGCGACCTCTCCCACCCTCCGGTCCGTCCGCTCGCCCGGCGGCAACTGCGAGGCGCAGGGGCGCGCCGCGAGCCGCGCAGCCGGCCGGATACGGTGCCTGCTCCCCTCTGACTTCCCCTCCCTGCCCCTCACCTCCCCAGTCAGCCGGCAGAGGACACACGCACACGGCGGCATCGGGAACAGAGCGAGCCGGCGGGAGCTGAGGTTTGTGACACCGCAGGTCAGTTTCTTCCAACGAAACGGGATTTTCTTTGTAAGGAATGCTTAAAAACACGCATGAGGCGCAACGCGCTTATGGCGTGGTAAGTACCCTGACATTAATCAAGTTTGTGTTCGAGTCATGACAGACAAAGCGTCAATCTATCCATAGACCTCTGTATACAGAGGTGGGTCTTTGATCTATCCAATAAAAAAATGAATCGTTCTTGAGTCCAGCGCAGATTGAATTCATATTCACGTTGCACGTTGACCTAACGAAGCTGGTATAGCAAACAAGCCACAGCTCCCAGGCAATGTGGATGCTTAGCTTACGTAACTGTTGAATCAAAGAACCATGCTGTTATTTACTCCTAAGGGACTGATCATAATATGTTCCTTCGATTGATTTCCGTATCTAGCTCAACCGTCAGCAGACATTGCAATCATTCGAGAAGGGAAGCTTCCGTGATACTCCCCCCCCCCTCCACCGGCACGCGGGAAATGTTATCATTGATATATTTATCATCATCACCATTTTTGCTCTATGACATGCTCAATACAAGACACAGGCTTGCAAGCAGTATCAAATCAATGCAATCATCTAATCGCTGTTGATTACGATTTTCGTCGTCTCGCCTGGCCATGATGTTACTAAAATAACTGAACTACATGTTTATATGACTTAAAGCTGTACCTAGATGCCGGCAGCGCTCGTGCGTTGCCTTGGGCCAGAATTGGAGGATCCATAGCCCAATGAAATGTGCATTATTTTGGAGGCCTTGCCTGGGACTACCATTGAACCGATTTTGAGGTTGATGGCTTAAAATTTCTTTGAGCCAGAGGACCTCACGTCAAAACGGTTTTCCGACCCCAGCACGTGCAGCCTGCACCCCTCGCAGACGGTGACCCCCCTGGAAACTGGTTCAAGGTGTTACCGATGTGTCCCGCCAGTATGGCTTTGCCCGTGACCTCGGGTTGACCTGAAGCCTTGACAAAAAAAAAATTCGTGTCACCGAAACTTTGAAGCGGAATAGCATGTGCCACGAAGCACCGAGCGAACCGAGGCCAGCACCAAAAGTTTACCTCGCCGGAGACGAATCAAACGGTCCCACTTTCGTCCCGATCGGTCCACCCATTTTGACTCCAGGTCCAAAAAAGCTTGAACAAACTCACTCACATACTCACTCACTCACTGACAAACAGGTTCAGCCCTTGGTTCAGCCAAGGCTATAGGGTTCAGCCGAACTTTTTTCAGCGACCCACCAATGGGAATTTCCGGATGCAAAAGCATGCTATCGCATGCTTTTGATCCTCCAATTCTGGATTAAACATTATTGTGGTTTTTCCTGCAAACGTAATTGTAAGTAGAAACAGAACTATGAGAAATGGAAATAGGACTTTTCACATCATTGTTTATACATAAGCAAAAAAAAAAGACCGGATTACATCTAAGCCTCGCCGGACCTACATCATATCTTAGTTTTTTAATAGTCCCGGTCGAAGTGGGTAGATGCGACCCCCTCGCCGTTTTACCCCAAGTTGAACTACTTGAACTACTCACGGTAAAACGAGAGCATGCGCCGTTGCGAGACGCAGCGACTGGTACCCGACTTTAAGGTATCAGGTCAACCGGTGACCTGTGAGGTAAGGTCAAGTGCCTCGAGGTATGGTTTCGGTTTTTGGTAAATAACTTCGCCAAAAATGGTCACAGAGCCCCGCTTGTGGTACCATCTTGTGGCTCCATGCTCATGCGCTTCGAATAACATACTTTTTGTTTAGGTGAGGTCAAGTTACGGCTTTGGTCTTGGGCCAAGGTCAGATCAGAGCCAATCAGGTCATGAAGCTGGTCAAAAGAGGTCATATTGCATTATCATTTTAATTGGCAAGTGTTCCCGAGTCTATTATTGCTTTTCTCGACTTGCTAGCTCAATTTGATCGGAAGTTATTGATGAAAGCTCATTATAGTGACCTCGTAAATAACGTTACGCAAGCTCAACTATGTAAAAATGAAACTTCAGAACTTGTAAAGGGTGCATGAAATCACGGTTCCATGTGCTTCAGATAGTTTTAGGTCATTCTCGGAGCCAACGTAACAATTTCCATATTTTCCTCATTGACTAATAATAGTAAGGCCACGTAACCAACCTGACCTCAGGTAAACCTTAGGAAAAATCCGAGGTGTACGAGTTATGAGACCTCTGAAGGATACTGAGAACTGCAGGTATCACATCCCTATGAAGGCTTCTCTGGCACTGAGAGCATCGCGAAGTTGTGACATTTTAGGACCGTGTAGGGGTTCACTTATGACGTCATAGTTCAGTGACCTGGCCTGACCTGAAAATGCGGTTGCGGTCACAAGATCCGGCTTGAATCGGAAGTTAGCTATGCCAAGTTTCAGTTCTCTATCTCCAACGCACTTTAATAGCGAACGATAGGTAGGATCTATGGAGGGCGGCACCCGCCTAGTCCCTCTTCGGCCGGCGAGGGTTAGGAGGCTTTTATAGCAGTTTCCGAATCCTTTCTAAGTCGGTATTCGCCTAGACCCAAATTTATTTACAACACAGTAGGGCTAGGGGATAGCAATTCGCATAAAATAAAAAAATGACCATCTGTGATGTTTTAGGCTAAATGGTTTACCTGAGATCAAAGCTATTGACATCAGCTAAGAAGTCCCTTTAATCAGACATCGACTGCTTTCTGCGCCCTCCTAGTGCAAGTCTCCTTTTTATGAATGAACCATGGCTTCGCTTAAATTAGGGATATTGTCCAACCCATTCGGGACATCGTGTGGCCCGACATTTGATGACAGCGTGCGACGTTCTTTTTAACTTCAGATGAGCACTTGATCTGAATTCCGAAATGATTGATCTAAGAAAAAGAAATATTTCGTTTGCGACTTCCCGCTACGTTGCTTAGATTTTTATGCCTTTACATGTATATGAGGTGGCAGGTATCCGAACCTCCTGTCGTGGAGCTGGCACATGATCCATGCCTGTGCGAGCATTTAGTTTACATTTAGTTCTTCTACGAATAAGTAAAGTATGAGCTAGAACTTTAAAGCAGTACTGAAGGTGTTTTAGAAAGCCTAGCCGTTGCCGGCTGCCGCAAGCAAATGTTGTTTAATTGCATGCATGCGACTGTTTTATGCTTCTTGAAATTTATTCAGCCTAGCATCCTACGCCGTGCAGATAGCTCGCTAAGGAGGAAGTCCTTTTTTGGGCTCCCGAGAGGTACAGTCCACAGCAGAAGTAATGTGTGGTTTCAGTCATGGGTATGTTCTGCTTCTGAAGCTTAGGAACCATTAGCCAGACTACAATGAAACTTTGAATGTAGCTTATATGTATCGTCACTCTTGCAGCTGCAGCTTAAGCTATTGACATCTTCTTTTCGATCACTCCGCATTAAACAATCGCCAGTCAAAGCCAACCGTTGAGATTGGTAAAACCCTACATTACTTTAGCGGTGGGCTGTACCAATAAAACAAGCACGTAAAAATTGCAATATATTAACAGCGAAGAAAAAAGAGCATGTTCCAATCGGCAGGTTCAGTGTCAGTTCGTCCCGTGCTGAGCACAAGCACTGGAGATGGTCGTGTGTGGTCAGACGTTCAGAGCGGTCCGGCAGTGTAACGGGCGTCTCAGTACAGCTCCGGGAACTGCTGCTGGTGAGCCTGGTACTCGGGCAGCTGCGCAGGCGCCACCGGCAGGTGGGCGCCGCTCGGCAGGAAGCCCTCCTCGCCGCTCGTGTAGTCCACGCGGAACTGCTGGCCCTCCGGCGAGACGAACTCGAACGAGCCCACCTTGGAGATGGAGCCCGTCTCCGGCTCGTAGCCCGGGATGCTCTTGCCAACCTCCTCCACCTGTCGGTCGGGCAGACAGAGTCGACGTCAGCGTCTCAGTTACCGAAAGACTGCATATCAGGTAACACCAAGACAACTGTCGGCTTCAATTTATTGCCTGAGAGCTACTCCGAATTGCGTAAAATGTAGAGGAAGCTACACTCCTTACCTTCTGTCCGTTGTCCTGTTCGTATCCGTACTCGTAGTTGCCCTTGTCGTCCGAGTTGAACCGGTACGACAGCAGTCTGATCTCTGGCTGCTGCTGATAATAGTCCTGCGGTGCAGCGGCCGCCGCCGCCACCAAACAGACAAAGATTGCCTGTGGAAGAAGAAAGGTTATTCAATGGTAGAAACCTTCATATTTTTATAACAATTTTATTGCCATAGGCACAGGTAAAACATGAATTATCAGAGGAGTGTGATTATGAGAGTCAAATTGGTGATAAACCATAAAATGTCTTTAATAAGTTACAATAACATAAGTTTGGATTCGAGTTTGGTCAGTTCAATGACAAAATGTCATTGATGAAACTAAATTCGGCGCTTTCTTTGCTGGGATCAGTCGTTTGTTGGGCTCAGTCGTTTATTGGGGTTATCCGTCTGCTGGGCTCAGCCGTTTATTTGGATCAGCCGTTTGCTGGGCTCAGCCGTCATACATACCGACTTCATTGTGAGACCACTGGGGAGGTGTCGAGACCAGAGAGGTGTGATGACTGGTGCTGCTTGGTGCCCTGCCGGTGCATTTATACGGCTGTGTCCGCCGTGTAATCCTGCCGGCCGGTGTGGCAGTCTCCGACAGCGGTGACGTGTCCTAAGTCAGAACCGGCCACGCCACCTCTCCGCAGACAGGTGCCAGACGGAGCGGTCATGGACTATCTTGACCTTGTCTGTCGGTGAAACAGCACAGAAATGCAATGCCGAACTCGAGTCTCGTCATTCGACGGATAGTCGGTAGACCGAACTCACTCGGTAGAGCATTGGACTCCGCGTGGTGAAAGCACGCGTTCCCTGTTACAACAGTCCGGGTTCGAAACGCGACGGGCGCTTGACGTTTGTGGGCTGACAGGTATGGTTGCGGTTGGTGGCAGGCCGCAGCCAGGCGAAGTCAGAGAGGGGACCGGCTGTTCGTGGCTATGTGCGCACGTTAAACGCTGGACTCTGTCATATTATCATATGAATACATCATATGAATTCTGTCATAGAACCGGATTGCGATATCGGAGGGTAGAAGGCACGGTCAACGAAAGAAGCTTCGCTTAGCGGGGGCTCTGTCCTTATGAATCCTTCCAATCAAAAGGTTCGGACTAAAAACGAAAAAAATAGTCATGTGGGCCCCTATTTGCCTGATCTGGTGTTGAGGGTCACCATGAAGGATCCCTTTTCTATTGAATATCATGATGCGTGTTAATTTTTTTGCGACTCATTTGTTACAGTTCTGGTTCCTTCAACCATAATTCAATTTATTCACCGGTCGAAAAATCAAATCAAATCGAATTAAATTCGACAGAAAAAAATCAACCTTCCTTGGCAATTTTACATAATTCTTGAGGCATGATAACGCATAGAGATCATCATCGATAGCAAAATGATGATGCATCTTTTCCTCATTTCTTGATTTATTTGTTTTTGGATAATCTTTCTACCCAAAACGTGGATCTCGAGCAATTTCCAATCGATTGGTGCCTTTTCAAGGGAAAGCTACCCTGGATTCCTCCATGCAGGTAGCGACGGACCTATCATCAGCTGGGTTGCGACCTTATACCGCGCGGGGCTCCACTTTGCTGCGGATCAAGGCTGAGTAATGAGCACTGCGTGGCGTATATACGTTATTGAAGACAGGACAATAGCTCAGGAAGAGGCTTTTTAGGGTAGTGTGGCTACTGCCGGGTGAGGATCCACGGTGTCTGTCAATAGCTTACCAATTCACATCAGCAGCTACTGCAAATACCTATATAATATGTCTATTGTCTGTGCGTTCGGTTAGGCTAAAATAATTAAAGGTGTGTCTTTCTTCTTGGATATTCTGATTGACACAAAATTTCGCGTTATGACATTCCATTAAATTTTATCTCACTTCTCCACCTACTTTCGGCGAACATAACTCCAAAACATTTGTTCCGATATCGCGAATGCGAAAACATACGATTTCTTGCAGAGACACGTAAGATCCCTGATCTCGGCTGCGATACCACACCGCTGAGTTCAACGGGATTTGTGCCGCACAGACTCGGGCCGGACGGTCACCGTCACCCACTCACCACGTGATCCGGTCGGCTTTCAGCGAGATGCGGCGTGCTTTGAGAGTGCCGGGACGACGTGGCGCGCGATGCCTCCGATTTGCGAGCGGCGGGCGGCTGGCGAGGTCGTCTGGAGGCGTGATCCCACTCGTGGGATAGTCATGAGCGAACATCCGTGCCCTGCAGTCGAGGACACAGCCCTTCACCTGCCGTTTTTTTCTGGCATATTGTATCACCTGTGTCATGTACGATTCAACGCAGCTTGTCTGGTTTGCCGCTAGTTCATGCATCGGTGCATCAGAAACCTAAAGAATGTTGTCACGTTTTAATGCGCTCGATGTTCGCTGAGTGACTTTTTCATCTGCCAAGTGTCCAGAGCTCAGCACATGTCCCGTTTTATTACCCGAAATCCATTGAAATTCGCCGTGAGCGCCAACGTCATTGCTGGTGAGAGGCAACGGCATATCGAGGCGGCTTTAGTTCCGCATTGTGAGAAGTTACTGAGCCCTTACCATATCATACTACATATAGAATAATTCCGATAGTGTAAAGGGGTTCTTCTTTCCCCTGGGCATGACAAAGTTGCGGCATTTTTGGGCCATGCGGGGTATGCTTAATGCTTATACCACCATAAGTTACGGATCTGACCTGGCCTACAATTCGGTTGTTGTCATACGGTAGTTCGTATTGAATGTGTAGTGTAAAGGGTACCAACATTCCGATCTACATAGGGCCTTCTAAGCAATCATGAAAACAGCCATCTTTGGACAGCACCGTCCCCCCTCGGTCGGTGAGATTGAATACTCGTAAAACAATGGTCTATGATATGTATGTGTTGTAGCGGATGACCATTTTTTTCTAGGCTAAATAATTCAGATGTTTTCTTACCAGGCAAGACATTTTGGAGCATTCCTTTAGCCACATATTAAAAGTAAGATACCTTCAATGAATTGATGATGGGCAGGATTCCAATTTCCAATCACTTCCCTTAATATTCTAGCACCATGAATGTATGCTAGGCAAATCCTGAGTTCGGCAATCAGCGCAACTGCTCATGACCTTGGCCGTTAGCCTTTGTCGTGTAATTGCACAGTGCGTTGGCATCATCTACAGTGCAGCTCGCATGGCCGGCCTTCTCTCGGCTTCATCTGATACGCGGGACGTTATCCGCTCTCGGGGACCGGATTGCTGCCACTCACAGACCGGGGAGCCCTGCTGAGCTATATAAACTGGCGGCCTGCGCAGCCAGGCACAGTTGCCTTCGTGACCAAGGATCAGCACCTCAACCTCAACATGAAGCTGGTGAGCTATGCAGGAACGGCACTAGCGCAGTGGAGTGGAGTTTACTCGTTCCCAAACGTTGTGTGAAGTGGTGAAAATTTGTGAAGCATTGCTATAACGCATGCAGACGACATTTGGTCGCTTCGGTTAGATTGCCCGTAGTGACCGTGCAGTCGTCTCTCAAAGCTGCAACGGTGGCTTCATGTAACATTCCCAAAAGAAACCAACGATTAGGTTAGTATGAAAAAATGGAAAGCATTTTCAACTTTCTATTACCCTATTAGTGGCAGGCTCCTGGCTACCCCCTATTAGTGGCAGGGGGGGGGGGCTGTTTACGACCCCCCCTTGATATCTCGAGATCTAACGGGCCGATTTTCAAAATTCAAACGGCATTCGATTTCGCTCAACGTGATCTACATTTCTAAAAAATAAAAATTAAAAAATGTCAATAGGGGGGGGTAGAGGGGGGTAAAAACGGGCAAATTGCAGATACATTTTAGACTGTTTATCATGGCCAGGTTTCTGAACCAATCTTAACGCAACTTTTGCCGATCGATAGAGAATGAACCAGGAATTCACATGGATCCTAAAAATATGCATTTTCAAAAATCATAGGCGGATACAGATCATTGAGATTGGGGGTACACAAAAAGTATAGTAAATAAGGTTTTTGTTGGTACTGTTTCTAAAAAGGGTGGTAATGGTCTTGTTATGTTATAATTTTTCTTATGAGAGAACGACTAAAATTGTATTGGTAATGCATAGGCGGTGTCAGGGCACCTATGTTGGGAGGTAAAACATAACCCCCCTTTTTGGACGCCTGGATCCGCCTATTATAGCAAAAACGTGTCAAAAGAGGATGCACAATAACTGTATATGTTATCACATGATACCTTTTATTCACTGTTCGTAAAACTGGTGCAGCATCGTGATCTTCGCCCAAATGACTCGCTTCACGAATAGGACCCCCCAATTCCCAGTGCTCTGGAGCCGCCCCTGGTAAAGTTATGAACTTGAAATTTTCAGGGAATGTGCCCAATTTAGTTTTAGGAAAAGTCAGAAAATTTCAGCATCGTAGCTTCAGCGGTTTCGGAGATATTCCCGAAAAACCTGAGGGGTGGATAAAAACAACCCCCCTGCCACTAATAGGGTTAAGCAATGATGATAACATTTCGAGCAGTTTTTTTTTCATATGAAAGTTGTGTGTGTCGATCTTTTGTCAGTCCTTTTGTTATACATACCTTAGACGAGCAGGATTGTCGCATTGTAACTACATTAGTAAATTTATGGTCAATTGATGTGCAGAACATTCATAGGAAAACAACGTCAAACCATGCATCGCACCAACTAGCTATGCCTATTATTCGTCCACGTTTGACAGACTTCAGGATACAATTTTTTCTATGCTTGATTTTTACAGTGACGGCGGGGTAAATACAGGCATCGGTAGGATTGTGATTGCAGGATTGCAAAATCCTGATTGCATTCCTTTTTGGTGGATTGCACCTGGATTTAAAATCTATTCCAAAAAACAGGATTTGATTGCGGATTGGATTGCATCATACTTCCATTTTTTGCAATCCAATCCGTATTGTGGTTGATTAGTGCTTTGAAATGGTTTGTTGCGATTGAAAATTATGAGATCGGCTTCATCGGCTTAATGTACTTATCAAGGGCTTTACATCGAAACTTGAAATAATTTAAACGCTTTTAATTTAAACGCTCAAAAAAATATACGCTGATGAACTACATAGCAAGGGCAAAATTACGTATTTGAGGGCGAGTTTTAAATATATAAAACACTGGTTGGGTAGAGGTTTAAATGTGGGGGTGTTTGAGGCAAAACATATTTCCCATAAAATATCTGTGCCTTAGATAGGAATTACTCGCAAGACTAGGGACTAGAAATGGGTGATTTGGGGATGGAGGCACGGCCCTATGCCCCCTCCCCCCTCCCTCCCCCAGATCCACTAGTGCACATAATAATACAACAGGATTGCAAAAAAAGGATTGCGGATTTGATCACAATCCAAGTGAAAAAAGGGGATTGCGGGTAGGAATGCAATCCACTTCGGCACTAGGAATGTTGATTGGGAATGCAATCTTTTCAAAAAGGATTTTACCGATGCCTGGTTAAATAAAGCTTTGTCATTAATTAGTGAAAAGAAATATGTACGGACGTCATATGCGCCGATGTAGCAAATAAGAGGGATTAAGAGCCCTCAGGCAAGCAACGTTATTTACTGCAGTATGACAATTTTAGTTGGACATGTCTACATAATCTGCGCTAATTCCTTTTGTTTACTTGCAATAAATTAAACTATGGTAGCAAGACTCAATTCATTGCGACTAATGTGTGCATTACGATCCTTACATCCTGTAGAAAGTAGATAATCCTTAGAACTGAACAAAGTGTAGATCACACTGCCCATTATCAGCCACATTGAGCCTTTTGCCATTAGTGTTGAGCCATCAGCAAAGCTTGCATTTTAGTTCGAGCCATGGTTGTTCAAGACCCCTCCCTCTGTGCTTTCGCAGGCAATCTTTGTGTGCCTAGTGGCGGCGGCGGCCGCTGCACCGCAGGACTATTATCAGCAGCAGCCAGAGATCAGACTGCTGTCGTACCGGTTCAACTCGGACGACAAGGGCAACTACGAGTACGGCTACGAGCAGGACAACGGACAAAGGGTAAGTAGTCCGCCTTCCATTGAATTTGACGTGATTCAACGCATCCTTCAGGTCATAAATTGAAGCTGGCCCCGGCTCGCTTTATCCATTAATACAGTCTTACGGAATATCTGCTAAGCTGGACTGGTCGTGGCGCCGCTGACACTGACTCTGTCTGCCCGACCGACAGGTGGAGGAGGTCGGCAAGAGCATCCCCGGCTACGAGCCGGAGACGGGCTCCATCTCCAAGGTGGGCTCGTTCGAGTTCGTCTCGCCGGAGGGCCAGCAGTTCCGCGTGGACTACACGAGCGGCGAGGAGGGCTTCCTGCCGAGCGGCGCCCACCTGCCGGTGGCGCCTGCGCAGCTGCCCGAGTACCAGGCCCACCAGCAGCAGTTCCCGGAGCTGTACTGAGACGCCCGTTACACTGCCGGACCGCTCTGAACGTCTGACCCCATATACTGCCCCTGTGATAACGGGCGCCGATCTCATGGTGCGCCGCCGACTATCATGTGTTTGCAATCAAAGTGTCTGCTTTCATGAATAAACGACAACATCATGCTATTGCTACTGAGTTGTTGCACCGATGACAGACATAAAAAACAAATAGGTATTTCTCAAAAGGTATTTTTGATAAGTTTGCGTTCAGTACCATAGCAAGCTCAAATGTTGTTTGCATTTGTCGTCATTCCTATATTGCACATAACCGCAGGTTGTTTGAAAAGACAAACACTATTCGTTAGAATTGTGTTTTTCTATTGAAATAACCGCAGGTTATTTGCGGTGTTTGCGTTTGGCGGCTGGCGGGCGACTTTTAGTCGTTTTCGGTTAGCAGTTAGCGTCGGTGCGGTGCGGGCGGTTTTATTTTTTTTTTCGGCGTTTCGGCGTTTTTTTGTGTGTGGTTTGCGGCGGTCGGGCGATTTTTTTGCCGTTTGCGTTGACTTTTCGGGCGTGCGTTTTACACGTTTTGCGGTGTTTACGTTTTGCGGCGGGCGGGCGTTTTGTGTTTTTTGCGGTGTTTGTCTTTGGCGGCGGGCGGGTGGGCGGGCGGGCGATGCGGGCGGTTTTCTTCTTTTTTTTTTTGCGTCGTTTGCGGTGTTAAATTTGTTTGCGGTTGGCGGGCGGTTTTATTGTTTTGCGGCGTTTTTGCGTTTTTTATTTGCGGTTTGCGGCGGGCGGGCGTTTGTTTATTTTTGCGACGTTTGCGTTGGCGTTTCGGGCGTGCGTTTTGCGCGTTTTGCGGTGTTTGCGTTTTCCGGCGGGCGGGCGTTTTTCACAATTCAAAGTCCAAACCTTCGGGCCACAGCGCTCCTCGAAAAGCGCTGCCCTCGAGTAGGCGAATTGAGACTCATGGGCTCTACAAATGCATGCTGCACAATTGTCATGGTCCGCAAAAAAAAGAAACATGGCAATGAAACAAATATCTAAAGAGAGATATGTTTTTAAAAGTAAACTTATGTTTTAGTTGGTAAGGTGTAGGTATAGCATGCATTTCGAATTCCAACCAATTATTTCGAAAGCGAAAATACTGAACAGTTGATACTAGGCTTCACCTGTCCTAGGAAGGCGGCTGATTAAAAGTATCTTTGTGGTTTGTTAGATGCTGATTCATTATCGCTTCATAAACGCAAATTTTTTTAACGACATTATTGCTGCTTAATTTCTAAAATACCAAAAAGGTATTTGTATTTCTCGAAAAGGCGTGTACCACACATGTATCCCCACCGTATCATGTTAAGCCGCCTAGTATCAACGACTGCAGTTACGCTGTTCCGCAGCTTTCATGATCGTCTCTCAACCCTACATAGCATATTCAGAACGACAGTAGTTACGCTGTGCCGTAGTGTTCTTAATCGTTACCTTCGTCCCTAAATGGCAGTGCTAGAGCGCCTGCAGTTATGCTGTGCCGCAATGCTCTTTGTTATCTCCTTTCACCGCTAGATGGTAGTGTTAGAGCGCCTGCAGTTATGCTGTGCCGCAATGCTCTTTGCTTTCTCCTTTTGCCGCTAGATGGCAGTAGCACAACGCCTGAAGTTATGCTGTGCCGCAATGACCCTTAACTTCACTCTCTGTTCCTAGATGGCAGTGTCAGAACACCTGCAGTTATGCTGTGCCGCAATGCTCTTTGCTTTCTCCTTTTGCCGCTAGATGGCAGTAGCAGAACGCCTGAAATTATGCTGTGCCGCAATGCTACACTTATAGTAGCTTCACCTTTTGCCTCGAGATGGCAGTAGCAGACCGACTGCATGCCGCAGCTTCCCGACATCGCTTGATGTTGATGTGATGATGTGGTCACAACTGTCAGCTGAATGAATAGAAGAGACTCGAATGCGCAAACGTTTGACTTTTATTTACCATGAAGCGAGCTGCTAGCAATAAAGACATCTGTTTTGAAGCGTGCCGATGGATACAGACTCGGTAAGACGATAGTCACTTGGGCCAGCGGCTCTGCTACCGGGGGGGGGGGGGGGGGGAGGGGGAGGGGAGTCGTTGGGGTCCCTGGCCTGTGGCTTGGAATTAGGGTTAGGAAAAGCGGTGTGGTGCGGGAATTGCAGCATAATTATTGAAATCATGGTCTTGAAACATGTCGTAGGCAAAAGATGCGTGACCAATGACCATTCATCACAATATCGTGAAATTACGTAAAACGTTTATGACATCTTCCTTGGCATGCTCTTCTCGTCCTTATGCTGGCCTTGCCACCTCCGCCGTGTGTTTCATTTACTGTAATTGTAAAAGACCATCATGAATGCATCTCGATACAACATATAATGTTGAGCATATTCAACAAAATCGTACAGGGTTAATGGGGAAATACCTAAGCATCGGTCATGTATTTTGTTGATTGCCGATTGCAAAGCCATTGGTCTCCCGTCTTTCTAGAGACTTGAAAGAAATGCTTCGGACTTTGAGGCGTAGATAGGAGCTGGACGTAAGTTAAGTGTTAAGGTGACATTAATTCAGTTTGTATGTTCATGGGTTTTAGGTCAGATATGAAAGATCACACCTACATTATATCCATGCCTACTTAACCTTCAGGCCTCACATTTAAAAAAAAAATATATATTCAACGTTGCATTAGGCGTCTTAGGTGCGCATTAGGTGTCGTCCCGTGGTCTAGGGCAGCAGCTGGCGTAACAAAAAACTTCTCACAATCCTTACGATCGAGGAAGACACAACAGCCACATAGTAATGATCAGATGTATGTATTATTGAGCTAGACAGCGGCGCACCATGAGATCGGCGCCCGTTATCACAGGGGCAGTAGATGGGGTCAGACGTTCAGAGCGGTCCGGCAGTGTAACGGGCGTCTCAGTACAGCTCCGGGAACTGCTGCTGGTGAGCCTGGTACTCGGGCAGCTGCGCAGGCGCCACCGGCAGGTGGGCGCCGCTCGGCAGGAAGCCCTCCTCGCCGCTCGTGTAGTCCACGCGGAACTGCTGGCCCTCCGGCGAGACGAACTCGAACGAGCCCACCTTGGAGATGGAGCCCGTCTCGGGCTCGTAGCCGGGGATGCTCTTGCCGACCTCCTCCACCTGTCGGTCGGGCAGACAGAGTCGGCATCAGCGGTGCCACGACCAGTCCAGGCTCCAGTTGAGCAGTTGTATCGTAAGACTACATTTATGGATAAAACAAGTCAGGGTCGGCTTCAATTTATGACCTGAAGGATGCGTTGAATAACGTAAAGTTTAATGGAAGGCGGACTACTTACCCTTTGTCCGTTGTCCTGTTCGTATCCGTACTCGTAGTTGCCCTTGTCGTCCGAGTTGAACCGGTACGACAGCAGTCTGATCTCTGGCTGCTGCTGATAATAGTCCTGCGGTGCAGCGGCCACCGCCGCCACCAAGCACACAAAGATTGCCTGGGGAAGGGAGGAAAAGAGAAAACGACAATTAGCTTGACCTTGCGAAGAAAAGTTTACAAATTGTTGAGTCACTTACAACTTGGGCTGCATCTCCATATTTGCTATACGAATTTCATTGGCTGAGGCGCATAGCAGTTAAGTTATTTCTGGGCGAGGCAGTCATTCATTTTATTTACCATCAATACCAGGCCAGCTGTATATCATTGATTACGCCCTCATGTTCGGGACTGTTAGTCATCTACATCTCAGGCCAAGGTAATTGGAAAGGTGACGTCGAACTAAAGCATGTCCATTGTCCATCTGGTTGACCGTTTGGGCGGGTTAAATTTACTTTAACCATAAGCTGGATAGTGGATGGCTGTTCCACTCTGATGGTCTCATCTGACCGGGATAGGGTCAGCCGTTACGGCACAAAGCCCGGTTGTTCAAAAGCAGCCCCAACTTGCCCTTGATTTCTAACCGATTGTCTCGAACTATCGGCTATGTAGAAAGGTGGAAAGTTACCTACTCAGTGAAACAAAGAAGAAAACTGCGACGACGATTCAGGCAATATTTAAATTTAAACTTAAGGCCAATGAAAAAAGAAAAAGATATGTACTGACCGTTAAATAATGTGAGGAATTGTCTCTTGCGGCTAAAAAAAATCATACTTTTGAACGATTTCGTACTTTCAGAAGACGGAACTGGGCAGGCACATGGAAGCAAATGTTTGAGTTAATGAGAAAGAGAAGTTTTAAATTAATTTAAAGCATTTGACAACATATTGGAAAATAAGTTCTTCAATAGCTAATCCATCACTTCAGTATTTCACCTTTCACTCGCTGAATTTTTATTCTAGATGATAAAATTGCTATAGTTATGCTGCTCATTGCACAGTGTGCTCACCAGCTTCATGTTGAGGTTGAGGTGCTGATCCTTGGTCACGAAGGCAACTGTGCCTCGCTGCGCACGCCGGCAGTTTATATAGCTCAGCAGGGCTCCCCGGTCTGTGAGTGGCAGCAATCCGGTCCCCGAGAGCGGATAACGTCCCGCGTATCAGATGGAGCCGAGAGAAGGCCGGCCATGCGAGCTGCACTGGAGACGGGGCTAACGCACCGTGCAATTACACGACAAAGGCTAACACTAACAGCCAAGGTCATGAGAATAGTGTGATGCCAACGCTCGAGTCCTGAAAGGTGCATTGTACGGTAGGTAATCATGTTTTATCGGGCTTGTAATGCAATTGCAGTTTGTATTGGCTAGCATGCAGTTAACCCTCGCCGGACCTATTGGTTTTCTACATACTCGCCGGCCGATGTTGTACGACCCCCTCGCCATTTCGCTCCTGATGGAGCTAACTAGAGCATCCCAGAAAAATGAGCGTGTGCCCCGTTACGAGACGCAGCGACTGGTACCCGAGTTTAAGGTCCCTGGTTTACCGGTGACCTCTGAGGTCAGGTTAAGTGACCCAAGGTACAGGTTCAGTTTTTCATAAACAACTTTCACAAAAAAACGGTCGCAGAGCCGCGATTTGGGCATCCTTGTGTTCGCCTGGCTGAGGAGCGTCGAATGGTATACTTTTTGTTTGGGTGAGGTCAACTTAAGGTGTTGACCTCTGGTCAAGTTCAGGTCAGCGCACCCCAGGTCACGAAGCTAGTCGAAGGAGGTTATGTCGCATATTATTCGATTCGGCAGGTCTTCCTGGGTCTGTTGGTGACTTTCCCGACTCGCTAGCTCAAGTTGATCGGGAGTCATTGACGAAAAACATTTATGACCCAAGTGACGTCATAAATGACGTCACGATAGGTCAACAATGCAAAAGTGAAGCATCGGACCTTGCAATGAGTTCAAGAAATCACCATTCCGTGTGCTTGAGATAGCTTGAGGTCGTTCCCGGCGCTAAGATAGCAGTTTTCACTTTTCCCCATTGAGTTAAAATAAAATGTAACAATTGACTTATATTTAGTAGCAAAGTGGTGGCATTATTAGCAAACCATGTAGGTAACTAATACCTATGTTCGAGGAATATTGTTTAGGTAGGCTCAGCATAAGCCACCGCTCAACACCAGTTATTCCTGCCCCTCGTCAGGCTCAGCGAATGCTGTTCGTGTTATGAAAGGCTATGCTTTCACACGAACCAGCTTTATTGCAACATACCTAACGCTATCATATGTATGTAGAGCGATCATTCTGGTACCATCTGCTGAGATTCATTCACTTGTCACGAACGTAGGTCATGCGAAGTTAAGTAATTTTGAAGTCCGTGATATACTAGATAAGCCTTCTGGCCGTTAATCGTGTTGTAGGCGGTGCGCTTTGACGCGGGGCGCAAATCGGCTTTGACTGGCCGACCCACCCGTGTGATGTGTCGTCTGGGCCGGACTCTGCCGTCACTAAAAGAGCCCGACCGACGTCACCAACTCTGACACGGTAGACGGCCAGGGATGGAGGGGAGGCCCCCTCCCCTCCTCCCCCGGGAGCCCGGGCATCGCGTCAGCCCACATTGAACGTGCCATCCCATATTAACCCACGCCGGGCCAGGGGGATGTTTGAACACCCCCCCCTGCGGTTTTTCGCAGATATCTCAAAAAACGGCCGTTTTTGGCACACCTGTTCGTGCATTTTTTTCCACACATGTGAAAATTTCAGACCCAGGTCACCTTAGGTCAGGTCAACACTAACAGGTCACGCCAAGTGACCTCACCTCAGAAAAAATCAGAATGCTCGTCATAGCTACACCGACTGAATGATTGCCTTGAAACTTTCAGCGATTGATAAGAGCAACACTATCTATAAAATGTATGTATATCTCGGAATTTTGATATCGGTGACCTAAGGTCAGGTCAATTTTGTGGCCTCTCCATTAAAAGACAATGGGAAAAAAATTGCTCAAAATTGGTTGCGTAAAATTTCCGAACTCAGTTTTTAGCCGTCATAGACCACAAAGAGTAAAACGAAGGAAACCATTGGATTCCCAGTGGTGAGCTGCATCGAATAGATAGTAAATACTCTTTTATGCAAAAATATCAATTTTGAAATTTGACCTTACGATTGATCCAACGTTGGATTCATATTAGGCGTTTTCACGACGGCCATCTGGTACACATTTGGTGCACATCTGGTACAGATTAGGTGCAGATTTGGTCAAATCAGGTTCAGTGTGTCTCTTAGCAGCTATCAGCTAGGGTTGCACTAATTGCTTATATGCCTTCTTTGTCATATTATCAGAGAGCATCATCGATTAAAACACAAATAAATTCATAAAATGAAGATATTTGCTGTACCTAAAAGAGGTTAGGTGCAGATTTGGTCAAATCAGGTGCATTCGCCGGATAGACCGTCGTGAAAACGGCTATTGTGGCCCTTGGTGACCTGACCTCTGTGACCTGACCTGGCATCAGTGACCTCTTTAAGCAACCTGCAACATATAGGGGAAGAAGGGTGAATTGCGCCACCTTAAGGAAAAACGCTAATTGTAAGAAAACCACTGGGGATGTAAGCATGCACTGGTAACCATGTTAAAGAGGAACTCATTGGCTACGATTTAAGAGCCTCCCGATCAATTAAGAATGTTTCGTTTGCTTCTGACAGCTGCTTTTCAGAAACATGCAAAAGGGCGCATTTACCAACAACTGCTGTAAATTGCGCCAGGGGGATGGCGCAATTAGAATCCAATTGCGCCCTATCCTTTAACATGGCTAAGCAAAGGAGACGGAATGCATACACTCCGGCATTCTATGCCATTGTGGCTTACTTGAACATGTATTATGTGAATCAAGCTCCATACATAATAAATGTAGATATAAATTGCGTTTTTTTTTGCGCAGGTAATTAACTTGACTTGTGTCCGGTATGCTTGTGAAGTGGAACGAAAACGTTTGATGTAACCGACTAGATATATATGAACGTATTCGCCTAGACGGTTATATTTTCAATCGTTTCTCTCAAAATTAATATTTTTCTATTGCTTCTACAACTTTTTTGACATCAGTTTTTACTATGTATCATAGCTGTCACCTCTCACGCCTGTGTCCATGTTAAAAATGCCGTATTTTGTCAATTACACCGCAAGTTCATAGCCCAAATGGCAGCTACATTATAAGTTCGATGAGAGAAATAATTTTTGGACTGACGATGGCGGGTTGCTCCCCTGTCTGACATAAAACTCCTTCTTTATTGCAATCAGTTAATGATGCATTCATACTGTCGTGATACAATAGCTACACCATTATTCTATTTGCGCCCCCCTGGCGCAATTGCCATGGGCGCAATTAAAATTGAGGTACTTTTTAATAAAAGCGTAGAAGTTACGATAAAGATGCTGAAGGATGTTTACTGTTTCAGTGAAATATAATGAAAAAAAGATTTTTCTTTCCAAATATCACTCTCAAAATCACACATGTATCGCCTATTTTTATAGCCAACGGTTCAAAATGCTGCAAAAAAGTTAAGAAAACGCCGTAATATCTTTGATGGCGTAATGAGCCTTGCTGATTGGCTTCATCGGAGAGCTTGGGCCATAAAAGGAACTATCCAGTGGTGAAAATAATGTTTTCGAAAACAAAATACTTAACATGCCATTGAATTCGTGGGAATGTGGGCGGGCGCAATTGGTTCGGAGGGCGCAATACACCCACTTTCCCCTATTAGGCAACCAACGCTCTATCGATGATTTTTGATGACGACACAAGGCTTAAACACATAACACACATCGTGTTTCTCTCTCGAAACTAACATGTCAACCAAAATAAAAGATGAGCATGAAAAAGGAAATTTTCGGTCCGTAGGTCGTTGTTGATAAGATAGGATCAGAAAAGGTCATGCTGTACATATATTATTAGTTGATCCGTATCGCTGAACAAATATTTGTAGCCCATCCCAGAAAACATGCCGACGTCGGCCCAAGGTCAGTCCAACCTCGGCCCCACATCGGCTGGACGTCGCGGGTACGTCCGCATATATCGACGTCCAGCCGAGGTCCAGCCGACGTCGAGCAGACGTCGGGCCGAGATCGTTTGCCGAGGTTGACGAGATCGTCCGACGTCGGCATGCCGAAGCCGATGCCGAGATGCCGACGTCACCTCGATGTTTGCCGATGTTGGGCCAACATCTGCATATTTACTATAGTACCAAACGCCAGTAGCGGCGGAACATCTTCAACTAAGGGGGGGAGGGGGGCACTGCCGACTTTTGGTCCCATTCTTTCCATGCAACGCCCATAGGGCTAATGTTAAAGTCTTTTGGTCCCATTCTTTCCATGCAACGCCCATAGGGCTATGATGTTAAAATGGCAAAATCAAGGGGGGCACGGTGCCCCGGTGCCCCCGTTCCGCTGCCTATGCCAAACGCGTACGCCACCGTTATTTATTTTGCCATTTGTTTAGAAATTGTATGAATGTTCGTTCAATTCAGCCTCCCGACTCCCCCGTCCCCCCCCCCCCACCAACGTCACCAGCAAGGCGCTTTGGAGAACGTATAACGGGCTCGAGCGCGTAATGCAATCGGGTAGGTATAGGGGGGCCTTGCTGCGGTCCGTGCATTTGGACGTTATCGAGACGTCAACCGACCTTGGTAGATACTAGATTAATTCAAATATAGCGTTAATTATAAGGCATCTTATTATCAAAATAGCATGGTAAATAAATACCCACGATCGCTTACGGATCATTGTTTTTTTGTTGCTCGTAATTTTGCAGCATTTTAGATTTCCAGTCACACAGCAAACGATACAAACTGGCGCATCGCGGCAAATAACAACGTAAACAAACGCCGGCCAATCTCGTGTGGACACGTGTATTGTAAACACATTACAATTACAAGCGATTGATTCCGCCCCTATTCCACCCTTTTTGCAGAATGGGCGGTGCAGACTTATGTATTTAACAAACAATTTTCACATCTATTCAACAACATCGCGCCTGTACTTCGAGATAATCAGCATCAGCAATTTATAACCCGAGTTGTTATTGTTAAGTTTATTTTTCTTTCCCCAGAAGTTTGCGAGATTCTTTCCTTTCAATGGAATTATAGTTTGAGTTACTGGCATTACAAAAAGAAATATTTGTTCTTTTTGTGAGCTGATCACTCTACTTATTAGTTATAACAAAACTGTTCCTTTTCCCTTGTTTGTGTTTGTTCAACGATTTACGCTCTGGTATCATTAAAAAAATGGTTAATTTCAGGATGCTGAAGCCATTCAGCTACCATGCACCGCCACAAAGTTAATATTAAAATTCTGAAATCATTGTAAAGCTGAGGGCTCGGGACCTACCTGACCAAGCCTGTACTGATAAAAAACACCCATGGATTTATGATTGGGTGTGATCCAGAGTCCTGGGGTGTAAAAGGGTGATTTCACCAACTATTTTTGTTTGTGCTTAATTTTCTTTTTATCCAGCCTCAGTCATTGTTTGATATCAAATTTTTTAATGTTTATGCATGGGTGTAGTTTTCCAAAAATCATTGGGGGTGCTCAGTAGCTTTCAGAAAGGCATTCCATAGTTTTTGTAGTTTTTTTTAGCTGTTCTTTTTTACTGTAGCCATCAGGCATCATGCAAGAAATGATGTTAAATCGGTTCGAGAGCTTGTTTTAATAGCGCCACTGTAAAACAATTTTGGCTCACCCAATGCATTAACCCGCGCGGGGCTGGGGTCTCACTCTCCACTCTCCAGCCGAACGCGCGGGGCTGGGGGGGATAAATTTTACCCCCCTGTTATCTCCCGAACTATTGGTCCGATTTGGAAAATTCAAACGCCAATCGAAAGATCTCATCACGAATAACTAAAAACATGCACTTAATTTAAAGTTTGAGGTCAAGGTCAAGGTCAGGTCAAGGGTACAAATTGCAAGTTTCTACAGTATCGGCCTTGCACCGTAGTTGCCGAATAATGGAGTCATGGACTGAGACTGATTGCCCAAAACGTGTTTGGGCCTGACCTTGGCCATAAGTGTGGCAGGCCAGATTTTGTACTGGACCACTTTGAGTCAACTTTGAGAAATACATAACGTACAACGGTGGTAAAATCGTTGCTATAGGTATAACACAGTTTACCCGCTCCGGGTGTGAGGGAGGGGTGTGGGGCAATGAGTGCACTGACGTGGCGCCCTCGGAGGGCCGGTATGGGATTAAAGCTCAGCTACACTAAGGGCTTGTGTGGTGCCTTCAGTAATCGGTGGCACCCTCAGAATCATCGGCGTAGGGCCCTCAGAGCCGCCGGTAAGGGAGGCACCGGTGTGGGGCCGCCATGCAGGTGCCGGTGTGGGCGATCAGAGGTGCTAGTGTGATTCTCTCAGAGGCGCCGATGAGGGTCCTTACAGGCGTTGCTCCGGGCCCGCATAGACGCTGGTGTAGAGCCGTTACAGACGGGTGTGGGGCCTTTAGAGCTGCTGACGCGAACTCTCTACAAGCCGGCAGGGGGTCTCAGTGACCGGCAAGGGGTCCTTATTACTAGGCCGGCAGAAGAAGTCCTGC